TGCGAAAAAATAAAGGAGATATAGATTGACGTTAAATTGAATTTAATATTATTAGTGTAGGACACTGGACCTATACAAATCCACGGAGTTGCTCCACTATTCCTCTCAGATCGTAAATAATTCAATTAAATTAAAGTTTAGAACTAACCATTCAGATATTACATCCTGTAAATGTCGAATTCAATTCCATACGATCGTATACAGTTGATATTTCATTATTTTATATTCTAAATTTTTGTTTGTTTATATTATATTTCTAAGACAACTTGTTTTCGCGATTGGAGCTGGATTTTCGAATATTTCTTGAAAAATATGAAGATGATGTCAATTCTTTATCAAAACAAAACGTTTTTAACCATTTTTTCCTCATAGACGCAACAGATAGAAGTAAAATCTGTTTCAATTGATTATCGATTTATTTAACTTTGGCCTATACCCCCCGCCATTTTTTCGCGAACACTCACTATAACATCCAGTCTATCGACCTAGTTTATAACTACACCTTGTCTGAGGTAGACATGTCAAATTTCTAATATTTTCCAAAATCTGCACTAAAGGCCAGCTTTGTTGCATAAGTCGCAGAATTGATACCAGCAGTATAACTATAGATGGACATCGTTTTAGTGAACAAAAGAGATTTTGAGAACAAACTGAATTTTTCGTGAAAGATGGTGTTGTTTAGAAAAAAAAGGACAGATGGACGATCGAATTCAATCGTTCGGAGAAATAATAAAAACGATCGTTTTTTGAAAAACGAACATTTCAAAACCGTTTTAATAATCTAGACCGTTCATTAACGATTTTGTTAACTGTAATATATAAAAAATATGCCAGGGTTTTTTTTTTCTTTTTTTAGATTGAGAATCCTGAGCAGAATCGTGAACAGCTAGGGTTTCCACGAAATGGCTAAATCGTTTGCGCAAATTTTTCGCTATTTTCGCGCAAATTTTTTTTGCGAACTTTTGCGATATTTTTGCGCATGAAACGCAATGAGTTTTGCGCGGTTTTGCGCTATTTTTTTGCGCAATTTGCGCAAAACCGGAAATATTTTTTGTGAAAGTTGCGCATGAAAGGAAATTTTAGTTTTGCGCAATCTTTTGCGCAATTACCGCAAGTTTTACGCATAATGTAACTTTTTAGGCAAATTGTCAAAAATTGATATTCTAAGCTTATAATTAAACAACTGAAGATTTATTCCATTCATAAATTAACAAACGAGTATGATACGATTATACTACACTCAATTGGTTACTTCCAGTTACAAAAAAGTTTAAATTAAGGGACCAAAATTAATAAAATAGAAATTAGAGAGTGTAAAACTTGGCAATATTTTAATCCTATTAAATAATTTCAAGTGAATAAGGTGCGCGCCCGTGAGATTTAACTCTTCTTAACTGTCATTGGTCAATTATGTAAAAGTGACCAATAGGAAGACATTCCAAAACAAGATTTTTCCAGAATTGAATTCTAAGAAACACACACCGTCACCAACCGTTTGATTTTTGATTTGAGTTTCACAAAAGCGGAATAGGGCAATTTTGCACGAAAGGACTTTTGCTTTTGATTGCGCAAATTGTTGTTTTTTCGCGCAAAACTGATGCGCAAAGAAAGAAAAATTTTGCGTTTTGTTCCGCAAAAGTTTTGCGAATGGAAACCCTTTGAACAGCCAATTAGAAACCGGGAAATTGGAATTTTGTGCGCCAAATTCAATGGAAGGAGTAGAGATATCCAAAAAGAGGGGAGAAGAGCGAATTTAAAAAAAACATGTTGTGGATATTTATATTAAAAAATTGGTCTGTTAAAAGTATCAAATTCTAAATTTTTTAGCTCTAAATATTTAACAAAAAATCTTTTCTAATTCTGAATTATTTATTTTCAGAAAATGTTGAGATGTATTTATCTGATTGTAATGCTGGGAACAAGGAACACTACAATAAAAATGCTTGTGACAAATAATTCAAACTTAAAGATTAATTTTCTAAAATATGCTAGCTAACAATTTCATGTTTGAAAAATAAAAATAAATCAACAATTTGTAAGCCTATCAATAGATGTTCTAATTTTTTTTACTCATTTACGACGAATCATATTTATTTTTGTACAAATGTAGTTATGCCCTGCCTGTTCAAGAAAGAGACTTATACAAGTAAATATATTCTAAATTGATTTTTCAGGGGTTGAGTCAGATTGTTTGCTGTACACATGGATTAATCATATAACAGATAGGACACTGGATGTTGTCTTTTCAAGATTAATGTGTTTTCCGTTCACCCTGAGACAGAAGCCCAAAGGAAATAGGCGTAGTCGATGTAGAACAGGCTCTCTCTTTGTCTTGTTATTCTTTGCACTTCTGTGTCAGGGCTATTGTGAACAAAAAACCCAAAAATCTTAAAAGACGACATTTAGTGTTCTATCTGTTATTATTAATTAATCTAAGGCTTTACCATCGGGCTTTACATATCTTTAGATAATAAAAACTGAGCTGGCCTTATAAAGTTGAGTTATGATTACACATGTATTGTAATTTGCCCTCAAAATTTGACTCTTGGAAGGGTGGATTTTGGTATTTGATCAATTTATTGTTTTCAAAGCCTTAAATTAAGCCAAATGTCTAACTAGTTCAACTAATCCTCTTTAATACGAGGAAATCACTGCATGCATGTTAAAACTGTAAAAGGCATTGTAATTTCAGTTTTTTGTATTTTTGTAGTTTCCTTGCCTGCAATTTAACCAAATTCTGATTTTCAAGATATTGCTTAAGGACATATGATGGATACAGAGTGATTAGAATTTTCCCAAGAAATCAGGAAGAAATACAGGTAGTCCAGGTAGTCCAGGTAGTTCAGGTAGTCCAGGTAGTTCAGTTAGTCCAGGTAGTTCAGGTAGTCCAGGTAGTCCAGGTAGTTCAGGTAGTCCAGGTAGTTCAGGTAGTCCAGGTAGTTCAGTTAGTCCAGGTAGTCCAGGTAGTTCAGGTAGTCCAGGTAGTCCAGGTAGTCCAGACCCAGCCAGACCAACCCCTCATTAAAGGGTGACTGCAGTGTCTATCAACTTCACTAAGTCCTCCATATTTGCAATTTCTTCTGGAAGTCCTCCTGAAGGCTGTTTTCAGTTTTAAAAGCATGATCATATTTCAGGCACAATGGCCTGAATTCCATGAAGTCCTCCCAACAGCCTTCTAAAGGCGATCCTCAGTTTAACAACTTTTCTCACGGTTCCTTTTCTTAGGTGAAAAATCATATAATTGAAGTATGTAAAAATAGGTACAAGCTCTACTCTTTCTAATCTTTCATTTTTACAAGGTGGGTGTTGTTCTTTAGCCCCCGGTCTCTGATCCCCCCCAACTCCTGATCTGAGTTTTCTCTTCTCAAGATCTCAGGAATGTTGTTAGTATATCTCCCAAACCAGATCCTCCTTTAGTCGCACGTATGCTACTTAAATATTAAACTTTCTCAATTTTACCCTGAAGGGAAATTTGAATTTCCCGGGAAAAATCTGAACCAATCAGAGAAAAGGATTTACGAAAAGATATGACGTAACCATCGCTCATCAGCTGGTTTTAAATTTTAAATTATTTACATATCCGATAACAAAACATATTTCCAGTTACAACCGTTTTTGGGTTTACATGCAAACATTAATTAATTTAAAACGTTAAACTTATTCAATCAAGGTTTTCACTTTTCAATATAACTTAAAATTGAATGTCACTTTCTAAGCTAAATGATTATTGATTGATAATCTAATTTGGAAAATGCGGGATTACAAGATTTTAACCCTGGGTTAAAATTTTGACTCGTCGATTTTGGCGAGTAAAATGNTTTCAACATTTATTCAATAATTTATTTTTCAATTCCCCACTACCCTCACTACCACCGACAAGTTAAAACTTTTTTATCAACATTTATTCAAGAATTTTATTTAAATTAAGAACTACCCTCACTTCCACTGATTTTTCAAAATCTTTATTTCAACATTTATTATTCTTTTTCATTTTCAAACTACAGTCACTTCCAAGACAAAAACTTAAGCAAGTCTTAAAGAAAAAAAGAGGCAATTTAAAAATTTTTAAAGTTGAATTTCTTGCTAAATATATTTTTTTTTATCATGATTTTACAAAAAAACCTTATAGTTTTATAAGAAAAGTTTCTGCTTACTACCATACATACCTATGTTAATAAAAAATTCACCTATTTTTCAGCAAAAAAAGGCATTTTATACGTTCACTCAATCTTCTGCCTCCTCATAGTGTTGGTACCATTGCAAATGGGGAAACCAGGCTAACCAATGCATATTACAATGTTTCCAGTCCGGAAACTAGTTGGTGGCGGGGATGTTATTAACACAGTTTCCGCCAAATCTTCATCCTCACCTCTGTTGTTCCTCAAGAACAGGCTGAGTTCTGCCAGGTTCCTTGTGGACACTGGAACTTCTATGTCCGTGATCCCTCAAATCGTTCCGTTCTTGTTCCTCTTTTTTTATTGTTCCTTTCTTGTTCCGTTCCGTTCCGTTCTGAGTAGAAGAACGTTCTTCCCGTTCTGTTCCGTTCTTGGCATTCTTAGTTGAAGAACGGTTGCATCCCTCTTGTTCTGTTCTTAATCAAGACAGTTTCCATCCCCCGTTCCGTTCTTAGTAACATACAATTACATCCAAGACAAAAGTTTTATAGAAAAGAGTTGTTTAAAAAGTATAAACATTACGATTTTTTAATAAAAAGTTCCTCACACCCGTAAATAATACTTTGAATTATATATTTTAAATTTAGAGTTAAAAGAATAAGCTTAGATAATTTCTTGGCTGAGCAACGTATAATTTTTGAGAGCCGGGGTAGGGGCGGGAGTGCTAATATCCTTAATATGTAGGCTATACAGAAGTCAAACTGAAACTTGCTGTTTAGTCTGAGTGTTGTCAGTTCTGAGTTTAGCAGAGAGCGGGGAAGGGGGCAGATGGCGGGTTTAAAGTGGGGGGAGGGGAAGGGGGTCAGGTGATTAAATAAAAAAATATTTAACTATTTCTTAAGGTTTTACAACATATTCGTGATTTAAAATGTGTTCCCAACTTAGAACATGTTCTTGATAATAAGAACGCGTTAACGATTTTAACCGTTCTTTTCAAGCAATTCTCGTTCCATTCTGTTCTATTCTTTTACTAAGTGTTCCAATATTTTTAAGAAGGCATTCTAAACGTTCTTGATCGTTCCGTTTGTTCTCGGGAAAGAACAATCATTCCACCAGGAACGCGCCCAGCCCTATGTCCAAGTACCCGGAGTAGTATTCTCCAGGAGTTTCTTTACCATAGAGCCAAAGTATCCAGTCCACCATACCAATTCTACCTGCCAGTGTTTGCCAAAGCCCACAGGCTTGATGCAAAAAAGCTGGAATCTGCAAGGAAGGAGTTTGCATCTATGGGAATCTGCAGGGATCATCCGACGTTCTTCCTCTCTTTGGGCTAGCTCTTTACTCATGGTGAAGAAACCTGGACGCCTTGTGGCAATTACCACCAAATACTCTAACTCTTCTTGAGAGATATCCTTTTCCAGATATAATAGTCCAGGAAGTTCAGGTAATCCAGGTAACCCAGGTAGGCCAAGTAGTCCAGGTAGTTCAGGTAGTCCAGATAATTCAGGTCATCTAGGTAGTCCTGGTAGTCTAAGCAGTCCAGGTAGTTCAGGTAATCTAGGTAATCCAGGTAGTCCAGGTAGTTTAGGTAGTCTTTATCCTCCCTTTTATGGCCTTTTATTTGTGGATTTATAAAACAATTCTTGATGACACACTTTGGTTTCAGTATCTCCATGGATTAGCGGAGAGATTATGTGAGGTGATGAAATCTCCTCTTTACCCTGGAGGACCAATGGATGTTATGTGCTCAACAAACAAAACAAACGAGTTCAAATCAATTTTAAACAAGTATGAGGACATGAAAATCTCTAATTCTTTAAGGGATTGTAGACATAATTTCAAGGGACTCTTCATGTTCGATCAACATCTGATCAACAATTTCGAGGATATCGGCACTTTTCCATCTAAAAAGTGATTAATTCAACAAATTTCTCTATACCTATGCCTCCTTTATAAAGAAAATTTAATTGAAAATAATCATATTTTAGCTGGAAAAATAAAGATATCTTGTTCACAATTAAAAAGTCATAGGTTGTGAATTGTGAATTGAAAATGTCACTATGAATTTTGGAGCACTTGAAATTACTGTGAACTGTCCCTTTAATATAGATTTAAACATTTTTTAGTCCCTATCCAACCAATTCTATTTCTCAAAACTCAGAACACATTTAGAAATTTTTAAGTTAAACTTTGTATTTCATAAAGATTGAAATTATGGGAAATCAATAAACATATTTTAATTTAATTGTGATGTTTTATTTTAGAAGTTCTTTTTAAAAAAATTGAGGTTTTGCATTAGAAAATTTAAAAATCGGCAGAATGTAATAGAGGGCCTTTTGCAGGAGGGGAATGGAAATAGAAGAAATTATAGAAAATATGGGATCTTTGATACGGTAATTTGAATTTTGTTTATTCCATAACATTCAAGAAAAGAACTTTTGTTTGAGAGTCTTAATCCTCTAAGGGGGCCTAAACAAATATTAGCACGTGGCACAATCATTTCAGATCTGCAGCTCAAAAAATGTTATGGGCTATTTTTGATAGGTTTGTTGTAATATGTTTCATTGGGGTTTGTTTAGTAAAGATATGTTTTGTATGTATATGCTCCTGTCAGAGGGATTCAACTAATTCCTTTACTCTGCATACTGTATAATGAATTTATAGAGAAATTCCGATTTTATGAAAAATGTTTATATTGCTTATTATTATTAAGATTATTTGCTCATACAAAAATTAATTAATAAAATATGGTTTAGTTACTTGATTTATTTCTTTAAAATAAGTCGAAGAGGTCTAAATATTTATTTCCTAATTCTTGGACAACTGGAATTCAAAGATTTTTTAATTGCATATTGCATAATTAATTTTATCTATGTATTAACAGGAGCATTGAAACTAAGAAGAGAAGAAACTCCAGGAAAGAAAAAAAAGCCAAGATGAATTGGGACGACTATCAAAGGTTTCTTGTTTAACTGCTTTTCCGTTTGTAAGACAACTCTGTTTTTACTCCAGAGGGCTGAAACAATGTTTTTTGTTGTAAAATTTAAACACTTATCAAGCTAGAAAAACAACGTTATCTTCCACATTATTTTTCAGTTAATGGTTTAAAGGGTGCTGTTGTGCATCAGACATGCCTCTCCTTTTTTTAAATTGGGAGTTACTTGAAATTACAACAATTCAATCCCTTTAAACTGATATTCTAATCTGGTAGGACAGATACTTGATTATTAATATATGCAGGTATGAGACAATAGTTATATGGATGAAGAAAACAGCAAAAGAAAATCCTTCGTTTATAAAACTTATCAAAATGGGAAGGTAAATATAAGCAAAAATGTTCAAATCCAAAAATAGACGGTAGTTGGGGTAGTTCAGATTCATCTTCAAGGGTGGGGGTGGGGTCTCTCTAAAAACAGTGCAACTACCCTTACTACCCCAACTACCGTCTGTTTTTAGAGATACCCCACCCCCACCCTTGAAAGTTAATCTGAATGGTAACTACCCTTAACTACCCAAACTACCGTCTGTTTTTAGAGAGACCCCACCCCCACCCTTGAAGCTTAATATAAATGGCAACTACCCTTACTACCCCAACTACCGTCTGTTTTTAGAGAGACCCCACACCCACCCTTGAAGGTGAATCTGAATGGCAACTACCCTAACTACCCAAACTACCGTCTGTTTTTAGAGAGACCCCACCATCACCCTTGAAGCTGAATCTGTATTCACTACCCCAACTAGCTTCAGTTTTTAAAGAGACCCCATCCCCACTCTGTGTTTATTCTATGCGCATGGTATACAATATGGGTATCAATTCTCATTAAATCAATTGTTTTAAGCTTATTTCTGGCATGCATAACACTCTCCGACCTTTACTATCCTCACCACCCACATTCTGAAGGGTGCACATTTCGTAGTCGAAAAAAAAGGCATTTTATATGTTCACAACATCCATGGATACAGGAATATCATGAGGAGGTAGAGATACCAAATAATTTCTCTTATCTATTTCTCTCAACAAATCTGGTGTATCTTCAATATAGCCTAGGAGTTTCTTTACCTCTGCCTTCAGATGATGATCAAAAAATGCTGAAAAAAAACTCTGTATTAGAGCCAGACCCAGATACAACCTCTCTCAAGGGAGGTAAATTTGAACTGGGTTCAACTGGTTTATGTTCTTTTACGAGAACATAAAGTTTACCTGGAGTAGGTTTATCTGAAACCATGAGAATAGCATCCTTCTGCGAGATATATTCTTCTCTTACTACTCACCAAATCCCTCACAACCTCCCAGTCCCTCTTTAAACTGTCCTCCTTCACCTCTATGTATTTGGGTGCCTGGTTTCCAGTTTTATCTAAGTAGGTCTCCCCAAGCTTGTTTTACATAACTTTTACATATGGATCATAATCCAACATACATACTCCTCCAGTTTTATCTGAGGGTTTTATGATTATCTCACACACTGCAAACATCTGATAGCAGCCCATTGTTCTTTAGAGATTAATCTCTTTTCTTTGCAACCTGATGGTGTAAACCTTTAATATTTCTAACATAGATTATTTGATCTAACAGAATTTATAATTTAAAATATCTAAGGTCTACGACATAGGTTGTAAAGATATAGGGATTAGAAAATCAGAGTTGGTGAAAAAGACTCAAATCCTTTATATAATTAATTTTAGATCAGTTGAAGGAAGAGGTATATTTGGTTTAAAGATTGGAAATTCCCCCCTGGGAACTGAAACTAGGGCTGTGTGGATAGATGGAGGAATACATGCTAGGTCAGTATTTATACAATCCTGTCAAAAGTTTCCTTGGTACAGTGATAACCAGTAAACTGTAAAATAGAAAGACGACATTAAAGCAATACATAAGAGCTTATGATGGTGTTGCAAAGCAAATAGCTTCAATTGCAAGTTATTAAATGACTTATTATGTGAAATGGGTCAGCTTACACTGCACAATTTCTATGACTCATGTTCATTGGCCTATTTAAAATCATATCTTGACTCTAAAAGTCGGCTTTCTATTCCAAAGTTTTCTGGAGTGGTTTTCTGTTTAGCAGTTCACTGTACAGGGTGTCCCAAAAAACATGGGAATTCAGTGACGGATTCGATATCGTCTTTGTTATGAATTAACACTGTAATACCTAATTTCAAAACCCATAATATTATTATGTCTGCTAGAGTTTATTTTATGAAAAGGGTAAAAGACTGTAAAGATGTGTCTATAATGTCTCCGCAAGATGAACAGTGAAGACGGACAAGTTTACTCTGTTTGTATACTGTAATTTTCTTGATTTACTATGTACTTAACTGTTTGCAGTCAAAACATAAACAAACAAAATGTGAACATAGCAGACGAAATTCTTACAGATTACAGCTTTCTCAGTAGGTATCACTATACTAAATCAAAGAATTATTTAAAAAGACGATATCGAATTCGTCACTGAATTCCCATGTTTATTTCCCTGTAAAATAATTGAAAGACTGAAGTATGGTTCAAGTTAAACAAAAATTTACTTTTATAAAAAAGTTTTGTCACGCCCCAAGAAATTTATTAATTTTTTGAATGAATTAAAAATTATCAAAAATCAACAGTAATAATTAAAACAATTTTAATCCCAATATAAATATGCTTTTCTATTCTCTTGAATTTAAAAGAAAAGCTGAAGGAAAGATTACAGTAACATGTTCTTACTTAAAAAAAGAAAATTTTACAGCTCAAAGCTAAAGATGGGCACGGTCGTTATTTTTTCAATTTATTGCTTTTATTCGGTTTGTTTCAGTCGTTCAGAATATATATTGAATTCATTAGATTTCAGATTTATCGTTCATTTTCCATCTACTCAATTCTTTTTTTATTAAACGATCATTCAATTAAATCGTTTGTCCAGTAAGATCGTTTGCTCAGCAAAATCATTCGTTCAATAAAACCGTTTGTTCAGTAAAGAAATGATTGCATTTTCGAAGTTCCTTCGAAAAAATCTGTTGTTTAGTAAAAACTATCGTGTTTCAAGTTCGTTAAAAAATCGTTTGTTCGGTAAACTACTAGTCGTTTTTCAAAAGTTTGTTAAAATAAATTTGATATATCGAAAAATAAAAACTCTCATTAATATTACCTTGATGTTTAGAGAATGGATTGCTATCAGTACTTCAACATATATCATAAAAAAACTTATTGATACTTTCTCCAGTGAACAAACAAGGTCAGTAATTAAAAACATAGCAATTGTAAATATATTTGGACCTTTTGTGATTCAAGTTCTACGTCGTGCTCTGGGAAAGTGCTTGTCTAATAAGGTTGGTAGGAGGGGGGCTTGGATGTTTCCCTTAGAGTTGAGATAGGGGAGTGTGATACATGTGATAAAGAAATGGTTAGGTAGCAAGGGAGGATTTAAAAAGTTGTAAAATTACGTCGGAAAAAGGTTCAACAATAATTATTTTTAATTTTGACAAATATTAATACGTGAGACAAAATATCAAATACTACATCCATTTTTTTAAGGCCTTTTCAAATAAATAAAATAAAAATAAATTTTAGCCCTGTAGTTTGATTAATAGAAAAATTATCAAGCATTTCCGACCCGCCGTTAAGCCGTTTGACTGTTCTCCACTCTTCCCTATGAATTAAAAAAAATGCTCGTCAAACCTTGTTCCCAACTATAATGCTGAAAAAGTGAAGAAGTTCAGATGTAAGTCGTTTTAAGTTATTTAGAAAATAAACAAATTGAACCTTCTTTACTTTTGAAAATACTAACTTTGCATGTTTTTTTTTCAATGCACAGGGTTGGATACAGTACAATTTTCCTGACATTTTTCTTTACTTTTTTTTAAATCCTTCATTGCTCCATAAACATTCTGACCCTGTAGTCTTTTTAAGGTTAAAACACTTCTTTAATATTCAATATGACAAAACTTGATCAAAACATCCTTTTAACAACTTTAACAACTTTAACAACTTTAACAACTTTAACAACTTTAACAACTTTAACAACTTTAACAACTTTAACAAGTTGTTAAACTTTAACAAGTTTAACAACTGTAACAACTTTAACAACTTGTTAAACTTGTTAAACTTGTTAAGCGTGTTAAACTTTAACAAGTTTAACAACTTTATCAGCTTTAACAACTTTAACAACTTTAACAATGCAAAACTATTTAGTGATCCAGTGATCCAAAGTGTTGACTGGTACATAGCACCATTATTGAACCCTGATGGATATGAGTACACTCATACTAATAAGAGACTTTGGAGAAAAAACAGGTTTGTAACCTCACTCCTAGAAAGCTCATATCTTAGCGAACAGAAAAAAAGACACCTGCTCCACCTGCTTGTACTATATCGAACCCCGAGAATAATCTATACAAATACTAAAATCATCTGTTTGTCCCCACATTTCATCTATAAAAATTCCTTAATCCGTCTTCTACGATCTATAAGAAATCTGGAAAGACCAAGTACTCAATAAAAGGGTTCTTTTCACGTTAATCTATCGTCTCATATTTTATAAAATGAACACAAACTATGACGGTGTATATAAAATACAAATCTTGACATAAAATATCAAATCTGTAAAATCAAGACTGAGTCGTACTCTGACGCTTTTGAACGAAAACTGGAAAACGTTCAATGATATATTCTGCAAGTATACGTAGATAATGGTTGGAACATTTTGCACTAGCTCTTCCAACTAAACTAATTGATAATACAGTGGGATCCATAAAATTGTGGAACAGAAAGTCGACATTAATGCAATCTCAAGTTTATTTGATGTTGATTTAAAGAAAATAGGTTTATTTGTCTAACTTGAAGTATCAAGTGAAATTGTGTAAATTGTGTAAATTGCACATTTGCCATTTGTTTCATGATCAACAGATTATTTAAAATCATCACTTGAGTCTAACAGTCGTATTCCTATTCCAGAAATTTATGGGTCCCAACGTAAACAAATATTTTTACAGACGCGAACCACCGGTGGGAGATAAGAAAAATTGTTATGGCGTGGATTTAAACAGAAATTTTGGCACAACTGGATTCGGAATAGGAGCTTCTACTAGAACTTGTTCTGAAGTGTATTGGGTACTACTTGTATACTTTTAAAAAGATCAATTTTTAAAAGGACCAAAAGTAAAATTTCAGATGACACTATACATGCAAACAAAGGAATGCCGGATTTACAATGGTACTCTTTAAACCTTTGACTGATTAGCGAGGGTTGAGAACTCTGTGTGCTTGTCTTTGAAATTGTGTTAAATTGTCGTAAATCGAGTGTACCCTAGAGATTCAGTGTGAATATAAAACAGCTTGCAAAAAAAGTTATCAACAATTATAAGCGTTTCTGTAGAGAAATAAGCAAAAATCAGGGAGTTGCCATTCTATGTTGCGCGCACATGCCCCGTAAAATTCCAAAACAGAGAGAGGGGGATTGAATTTTGTAGATCCAGAAATTAGTATTTATTTAGGGTTAGGTTAGGTTAAGATACTTTCTGGGCCGAGCGCTGCGGCTAGGACAGGCATGGGGGCCGAGCGCTGCGGCCACATGTCTTACATTTAAGACTCCACCAGCTGCCAGTCTCTACGCAGGCATCCCATAGATATTATTTTTCTGGATCTACAAAATTCAATCCCCCTCTCTCTGTTTTGGAATTTTACGGGACATGTGCGCGCAACATAGAATGGCAAATGCCCAAAAATCAGCCATCCTTGATCAGCCAAAGGTTTAAACAGTAATGTTATGAATCGAACATGTCATTTTACAAATTGAAATTGATTCTTAAATATTAATGGGCCCCCTGTATTTTAAAGGGAACAGCTGAGAATTCCGAACCTGAAACTAAAGCAGCGGAGAAAACCATTCTTAAATACAAAAATAATATTCGGGTCTACATAACCTTCCATTCTTACGGTAAATATAAACTGTCCAAACATTATAAACATGATAAACAATCAAGCTTTAAAGATGTTCCTCAGTGCCAAAATGCCTAAAACTCATAGTCTAGTCCAGGGGCGTAGTGGAGGTTTAGCCTTGGGGGGTGCACTTTTTTTGTGCATCCCACTAACGGTTGATGTGAACCCCCCTTATAAAACCCGTATTAGGAAAACAATTAAAGCTTAAAATCTATATTAATCTACCTTGACCATAATTAACAATCATACCACTATAAAATCTAGTAGTAAAAGAGCAAAAAACTTTTATTTGAGGTAAAAAAATGTATTCAGCATTTTTTAAATGTTGAAGGGTTGGCTCAGTGCTCAATAATATACCAAATTATTATAGCATTGATGGCTTGTTCTTGTGTTTACAAAAAATATACTTCAAACAGCTTTAAAATGTATACTGTCAACAGGTTGTTAAACAGATCTGGATGAGATATTTATTGAAACCTGTGCGCGAAGCTTCAAAATTTTTTTTGTTCTTTTAGCGTCTTTTCATGTATTTCTTAGTGTCTCTGAGTCCCTGGCTTAGTCATAGTCACTATGTATATATAAAGTCCCCTATAACAGTCTACACCAGCTTTTTGAAATTCGTTTTCTAGTCATATTTCTCCACTTTATAGTCCCTTAATCATAGGCCTGAGCAGTACTCGACTTCGTTTGTCCATAATCCAGAATAGTCTTTCTGATCGAAGTCCCTCTGTCATTGTTTGCCAGTAATGGCTAATCCCTGTTTTTCTCTAATAGTCTTTTAAATTCCTGATAGTCTAATATAATCCTTATTATATCTCTTATTGTTATTCTTCTTAGATTGTCAGGTTTTGTGTAAGCTTAAATGGTATATGTATTGTAATACTCATGAGAAGTAACATATACAGTTTTCTTTAGAGGATAAATTCAGACTGACTTTCTTTAAGTCAAAAACGAGAAAATAGTTAGAAATTCTATTTTAGAAATGATGCGCGAAGCGCCAAAGAAAAAAATTGGCATTTTTCTTAATTGACAAAATTTGATAAAAGATGATTCACAATTATAATCATGTTGGAGCCTAGTGAGGGGGGGGGGCGAAATATGCTGAGGGGGGTCGAAACTCGGTTTGCCCCCCCCCCCCTAGTTACGCTAATGTAGATTACACTGGAGACTGTATTATTTAAAGCTTAATAAAACTCTGTGTCAATCATCTTGCTCTAAGAGACTGAAATGAATTTTAAATGAAACCCTGCGAAAAAAAATAATGTAAATAAAATTAAGGTAAAAGACAGAATTTGAGAAATATCATAAAATGGACAAATTGTGACATTTTCGATTGATAAGAAAAGTAAAAGATCTGAAAATATATGTGAGTTTAATAAATTATAGCCTGCCTCTGCCTCTATGGGGGGGCCTAGGGGGTGCATGTCTAGGGGGCACACGCCCGCGGCCCCCCCCCCTCCACTACGCCCCTAGTCTAGTCACCGAGTGTTCCTTTTTTATTTACTGAAATAAGGTTTTGAACTAAAAGCAATTTTGCGCAAATTTGCTTTCAGTTTGAGAAAACTTTTTGTACCATCCATGGCTCAGATGTTCTTATCTTTCAGTAGAAATATAGGGTTATATTTGTGTTAACAAATTATGGTATTATCTTGTAATAGATGAATTACATTGTATATGGGAGTAAAAAGTTTCATAACCCTTGATTTGGCCGACATTTTGGTATATTCCTTAAAAATTTTCAGTTCAACTAAAGTCCAGTAGAATAAAAAAAAATCCTGCCCCATATTTTAATTTAGAATAGATTATTATTAATTGTGATGTCCTAAACTACAGATTTATCATATGTATCATAATAAAAAAGATAATTTACTGTTTAGAAAATTGTATGGTATCCAGTCCACTGATTGTCAGGTTTCTGTAATGGACACCCTTGTAAACTTTATTCCACTGATTTTTTACCACATCTTTATATTTATTTCGCACCAGGACAATCTTGGTTAACTTCCTGGGGATATACATCGGATTTACCGGAAGATTATGATAAACTTTATACCCTGGCTAGAAGAGGAGCAGATGCTTCAGAGGTAAATTATAAATAATTATCTTCGCAACCTGGAGAACACCATTTAGTTAATTTAAAAGAGGTTGCTGAACTTCCCATTGCCGGTTTAATTACTTTATCGTTGACGAAACTAAATAAGTCATAAAAAAATTTATATCGCTCCTTCCTGGCTAATTTTCTATAATGTATTACTAGTTGGTAAACCCAAAGAGAGAATATATTGTTGGAGCTGGGGGAGCAGCTTTATATTTGGCTGGTGGAGCTACTGATGATTGGGCTAAGGTAGGATATATGTAGGGTTTACAATCGGAACTTCGTTGTGAGGAATTGCGCGGAATTGCGCGGAATTATGCGGAATTACGCAGAAATATAGGGGTTGCAATTGCGCTCAAGTAAAATCCACCTTCGCTGTATACTCCGCATGTATGTATAAAGTACAACTCGTACAACTTATATAATACTAAACTTCTAGTACGTAGAACTCCTGAAACACAAACTCCTGAGTGACAAACTACTAGTAGAACTCCTGAAAGACAAACACCTAAAAGACAAACTCCTGAAAGACAAACATCTCAAAGACAAACTACCGAAAGACAATCTCATGAAAGACAAACTCATGAAAGATGACCTTCTGAAATACAAACTCCTAATAGAACTCCTAAAAGACAAACTCATGAAATACCAACTCCTAAAAGACAAACTCATGAAAGACAAACTAATGAAAGACAAACTCATGAAAGACAAACTCATGAAAAACAAACTCATGAAAAACAAACTCATGAAAGACAAACTCATGAAAGTCAAACTCATCAAAAACAAACTCATCAAAAACAAACTTCTAAAAGACAAACTCATGAAAGACAAACTCGTGAAAGACAAACTCATGAAAAACAAACTCCTGAAAGACAAAGTCCTGAAAGACAATCTCCTGAAAGAAAAACTTCTGAAAGACAAACTGTTGAAAGAAAAAGTCCTGAAAGAAAAACTCCTGAATAACAAACTCCTAAAATTATAAACGAATAGAAAAAAAAACACCTAGAATAATTAACAGACAACTCTAATAACTATGCCTAACCCGTCCTTACAGAATAATTACAGGGATAACTAAACCAAACCTGACCTATCACTGTAAACTAGAGGTCCGGGTTAAAAGTAAATGGAGTCTTAACTTTAGACTCTATTTTTACCAATTAAATATGGTTTTCAATATTTTAGTTATTTATTCTAAATATCTAAGTATATAAAGTCTATTACGCTATTTTTGACTGATTTTGAATAATAGTCCAAAATATGAATGAAAAGATGATGCTCTTCGATGTAGTTGGATTTACGTAAAAAAGAAATTTTCCGGTTTTTGTTTATTCCGAACATGATTAATTTTATCAACATAATTCCAGATTGAAGCAGAAATTCCCTACTCATATACAGTAGAACTTCCCACTAAGGTAATCATTTCAAAGGTCGGGGCTGTTAACCCTATATACCTGTTAACCCTATATACCTGTTAACCCTATATACCTGTTAACCCTATATACCTGTTAACCCTATATCTGTTTGCAGGTGGTCACTCCCCTGTAGTTTTTTTTTTACAAAATTCAAAAAGTGTTGGTCTGAGGCTGTGGAAATTTTCTGACTTTTCCTTAATACCCTTACCCATAGCCCTCCATACTAACTGCCTGAATCCTTAGGAACACTGCCTGAATGATTACTTTTTCCTGTAACAAACTAAATCTATGTTTTGAGTTTGACCCACTTTGAGTTGTCAGATTTGTGTAATATTTAGCTTTTTGGAAAGCCTATGACATAAGGAAAAAATACATTTTTAAAATTTTTTTGTATACACATCAAGTTAGTTAAAATTTTGCAATTTTTTTTTGCATATTTGAAAGGGGTTTTCAAAACTATATATTTTATAACTTTTCGGAAATTTTATTTTTTGACCCCCCCCCCCAGCGTATCCTGATTATCAAGTACCCCAGCAGGAATAGGGTTAATATTTGCAGAAAACTTTATCCACATATTTTGTGGTTTTGCGGATTAAGCTAATCCGTTGATTAAATACGAGTTAGGTCTTAATCAATTAATCTGAGTTTCCATTGTGAATACCAAATTCAGGACTTTTAGATTAGGATTATCTCGCACAAAAGTTCTGGTCTCAGGTTTAGTTTAACCCCGAATGTTGGAGACCTCTAAATAGCAATATATATATACGAATAAATAAATAGCCATTAAATATGCAAGAACAGTTTTAAAGAACTCCATAAGATTATTTAATTAAAAAACTAAATATCTTCAGCATTCCATTACTTTTTTCAAGTTTCTATTTTAGAAATCATTTGTTGTTGATCCTGCTGAGATTATTCCTATTGGTGAGGAATTATGGGCAGCAATGAGGGAGGTAAATAACATATCAAGATATCATGGATTCACAACGGTACCTTTAAATCGTTGTCTGAACAAGAATGCGCGGGAATTCCAAATTTTGTTCCTTGAAATTTATGATTTTAATATTTTTCTGCGGATTTTTACTTTGGAATTAAAGTTAGAATTAAAGACTTTTCAAAAATGAAAAACCAACTTTTTCTTTAAAATTTTTGATTAGATAAATACTTAAAGGGTACCATAGTGAATAAGGAATGCCCCTCTTAATTGAAATAAAAAAGCTAGTCCCTAGTCCACATAACAAAATAAGGAAAGTCTAGGGAAACAAATATTCACATTTTTGACCGTGTAAATATTGATGTGGTGTCTTGTGCAAGTTTTGCGGTCGTCTTTTATTTATATTTTCTTTCATTTAACCGTTTTCCGATCGTTTCACTTTGTGTGACCCTGAGAGAAAATATATTCACAAAAAGAACCAAAAACGAACCAAAAACGAAAAAAACGAACCAAAACTAACCAAAAAGAACTAAAAACGAACCAAAAACAAACAAAAACAAGCCAAAAACGAACCAAAAACGAACCAAACACTAACCAAAAACGAACCAAAAACGAAACAAAAACAAACCAAAAACAAACCAAAAACGAATCAAAAACGAACCAAAAAACGAAAAAAAACGAACCAAAACGAAAAAACGGACTAAAAATGAACCAAATACGAAAAAACGAATGTGTTAACAATCGATATTTTGGTTCCTTATTGCAAAGTTTATTAAACGAGTGTACAAAAGCGTTTTAACGGTTATAAAAGCAATAATGTGATAAAAGCAAACATGACATTTTGTAAGGAATTGAGTCATTGCCACAAACTCTGATTTTCAAATCCCGTTTTCTTTGCATTTCAATTTTGTAGACCTAGATATTCTAAACTATTTATTCTGTTATTTAAATTATCTAAGTTTGAAATATCTAAGGTATAAAATTGTAAAAAGAATATTTGAGTTACTGACAATGCATTAATTCCTTAAAGTCACAAACATTTCAGAATTTTGCTGAAGTCTTTCTAAAGCAAAACAACCTTGATTGTTAATGCCCTTGATTTTCAGAACGAAACTTTTCCATAATAAAAATAATATCTAAAATTTAAAATAATAAAATGTATGGAATTAAATTATACAAAAAAAAGCAATTTGCGGAAACAATAATGATTGTGTAAAAATTAACATCTCTAATTTATGATTCCCTATATCTTTGCAAGCTGATGATATAATCCATAGATATTTTAAACTTTGACATTTTTGATTTAGCAGAGTTCTGATTGAAATAATAAACAACATTAGATTGCCGAGATAAAAGGAATATAAAATCAGAGTTTCTGGCACGAATTTAGTTACTTTTTTTAAGATGGCAATAGAGGCTGCAAATACTCCTCTTGGCAAGGATAAAAGATTAAAAGAAGTGAAGGCGTAAATTCAAGTGACCCTCCATCTTTAGAGAGGCATACCTGCAGTACTCTTAAACATGTATATGATGTTCATCAACAGAGAGATCTCTTTGTTTATCTCTAAAAGTTGTTTAAAGGAATTGATTCTTTGCCACACACTCAAATTTTAAAATCCCTTTATCTTTGCAACCTGATGGTGTACAGCTTTGATATTTCGAACTTGGATTATTTGATCTAACAGAATGTACAGTTTATGAAATATCTAAGGTTTAAAACAGTGGGTTGTAAAGATAAAGGGATTTGAAAAGTTGAGTTTTGTGGCAAAACTCAGTTCCTGACCGGAAACTCAGTTCCTGACCGGAAAGCGGAAACACATTCCTGACCGGAAAAATTGGATGTGTACACTGTTAGAAAAACCCGCTTACAATCAACAGTATTTAGTTCACGCACCAAGCCATGAAGATCCGTTGTAATATATCAACGATAATTCTGCTTGATATCAATTTACGGCCTGTACGCTAAATTCTAATTACATTCACTTGAATTCTACTTACTTCAATCATCAGAAATCGAAGCAAGCATAATCCTGCTTACTTTAATTACAGTGATCCGGCGTTCAGACACGTACCGGCACTCAATTCAATCAGAATACTACTTGGATTCTGCATTAACCAGAATTCTGCTTACTTCAATTAAAATTCGACTCTCTTCAAGTAAATTCTAACAGAGATCAATAATGTATGTATTTAA